CCGAGCCATGCAGCCAGAAACTAGGTTGGTATTTTTATATATCTAATTATGGACAAACACACGACGTCACAACATCCATGGCGAAGGCGAGATTCTTCGAACTCGCGGCCCGGCCGGCCGGCTGATCAGTAGCACGACACTCTGACCCACGCGGCCAACCGAGGTCCCCACGCCAGTGTTAAAGCTAAAAATTATTTTTTCATTGAAAAATATACAACTTCATTAACTTTCACTACGTACTAAATATCAGTGAAATATCTGAAACGATTCTGAAAATATTAATTAATTTCCATTTTTTTCATAAAACTTCAACACTCCGAGTTTTTGTAAGGAAACAATTTTGGACCATAGTTTATAAAGCAAACTAAATTTTTTTTTGTAGATTTACACCCTTAAATATTCGGATATCATTATGGAACACCCTGTATAGTGGCTTTTTATTAATTTCAATTTTGTGTAAGAGTAAGTAGATAGTAATGGAATAGCCCAACGATGTTCAACCATCCCATGGTATCGATGCTCCGTGAAGTACGGTTATATTCTTTAAAATTATTTATCAGACGGCAACGATTATTTTGGATTTTTTGTAGTCGATTTGCATTGGTTTGATCTAAATGGAAAATGTGCTTATTATTCTTCGTTTTTGGGCTGAAAAGGATAATTCTAGTTTTATCAGCGTTAAGGTGAACGTTGTGATTTGCATAATCTGAAATTGCATCTCGATCATCTTTCATTTGAAAGCTGAAGATTAAAATGTCTTTCGAAGTTTTCCATAGTTATGATGTACGTCCAAGAATGAGACGGCAATATCGCACGTGCATATGAAACATAAATATAATGATACAAATTCTTATAAAAGAATCTCCCACGGGGCTGCCCTACGAAGGGTCGGGGTATTCTGCTATAAATTTACCCCCCCCTCATCTTAATATGTTTGCATGATCTTTTAGGAACGAAGTTATGTACACAAGTTGTAGGATCTAATATGAAGTTTTTTCAGGCTACATCTATTTCATATGCAGAAAAATGCTGTAAAATAAAGTTGTATTTTTAATAGTCGTTTTATTCCTGATTCTAAACATAAATATAGTGTTTATTATGTTTATTATCATTACTTTAGTTGTAAACTTGGATTAGATCTATCATTCAATCATATCCATCTAACCCTATACCAAATTGCATAGGCGCCTAGATGCAAACTGAACTAGGATACATATGAATCATAGACAATAATGTGTTGGAAGTAACACTCGTAGCAGTCTAATGCTTTAACTGCAAAAAGATGTATACTCGTTTGATTCTGATAAGAAGGGCCGTATTGTTTCAATATTCCTTCTTTGGATTTACTTCCTGACTTTGTACAAGGCCCAGACAAGACCTAGCCTCGAGTACTGCTCACATATTTCGGGTGCTGACGTCTTGACTACATTATCCAGAGATCTGTCCGATTTATCGATGACCCTGACGAATCGGCATAAAAAATCGTCGATTCCTCCAAAACATCCGACAATTATCTAAATCTTGATTGAGTGATCTGAAAATTGGGTTCTCCGAGTGGCTGATTACAGATCTGTTGTCAGTATCACTATATCACCAAAATGGCAGGACCAGTAGGTATACAGAATCTCGTACTGTAATGAAATAAGAGTGGTCTGAAAAATGGTGCTAAGTTCTCAAAATTTGGATTTATTATATAGTGTCATTACAAATTTAGTTCTTTGTGAGTCTGTATCTCTTTTATATGCGTATGAGGAATTGGCAGTGTTATTTCTGGATAACCTGCATGTGAACATGTATGTATTTGCTGTTAAGTCGAAGATAACTATTTTTGTAGGCGCTGTAGTTTTGAAAAATACACGTTGTCAAATACATGTTTTAGTCATATCAAATATGATGTAGATAGACAATGAAAGATTTTCTGGAGCCAGCTGACTAGGAGAAGATGGTCGCTTTACCGCAAAGAATATTTAAGACAACTCACAGAAGCCGTTCTTTAGCTTTACCCTAAATTGAATTATTCTGTTAATAACTTATATTTTATTATAATTTTATTTTGACGTCATTGATTATGATTGAGTATTCGACCATCTACTACTGTAGGTAATATAAACTCTTTATAATTAAAAATTATTTTCTACTTTTTAGTTCCGTTAGCTATAAAAACGTGTTATATTTAGTTTTTTTAAACTATTATTTATTTTCAGCAAGTTCATCATACTATTCGAAATACAAGAAACCATGTTTCGTGTATAGTCTGAGTGTCATGCATACCTGAGCAAGCCAACGGTGATTTTCGATTTTACCTTCATTTTCGTATTAAAGCTTTTTAAGTTCAATATAAGTGGATGCTACAGCAGATCTGCCTCGTACAAAGAATGCGACATTACTTGCTGCAAAACTGGTCACATAAACCGAACTATAAACAAATTAGATAAATAATTAATAAACATTACTTTGGCAAATATGTACATCTCGCCTCTGTTCGAACCAGTACCACTTTTTACGCGCTCGTATGATTTCTATTAGCTATCAATTCACGCTACAATCGAATCTGTTCCGCTATCAAAAACCAATCAATGACATCACCGCGGTTCAAAGATTATCATTGCTGAGATACAAATTCGTGTTTACTTCTTGGTGTTTCTCTTTGCTAAATCAAGATGCGTGCTGTATTACTTTTGTATTGTTTAGCAATCTTAACGAATTCAGCGATATCGGAAAATACTTCCACAGGAAGTGATGAGAGCAGATTTACAGGATTTGAGTCAGATACTGACACAAGTGCTGAAGGTCAGCCAGAGGATGAACTGGAAGAGATTGGAGCGGGAATTTTGAATGTGACAGCATCATTGAGTAAGTCTAGTAATAATGTTTTGATTACAGGCAACAGACAATCTTACTCGTAACCATCCGACCACATGTAGCCTTTCACATCTCATCTTAGCTTAGACCAGCACTAGACCACCTGCTTTTCCACTGTGCATTTTGCTACTCCAGCTGCATTAAATCTTGGTGAGTGGGGTGTTGCAATTGGCCCTAAATGCATTTAGCTCTCGTTTAACCCTTATAGATATTCTTTCGTTAACTAGTTACTTCAAAGCGCGTATGTCATTTTGTTTCTTTTCAACAGCTTGAACAGACCGTTTATTCCAATAGAAACATTTAAATGAAAGCAAATAAAAATAACTAACTACCTTGGATTTCCGCAAAAATTGGTAGTTTTGCAGCATGCGCATGCAGCTTGTTTAAATGTAAAAGTAGCTAGCCTGTGACTTGTAGCGATATCGCAGACTCTCGGAAGGGTTCGCACATATTGCGTAGCATGCGTCGAGGACATTAACTTTGACATCTGTAGAGTTGTAATGGAAACGTTCGTTAAGAGAATGAAGCCAACAAACATGGATTTGGAGATTTGGATGTGAGCTACTTTGATAGCTTCTATTTTACCTTTCTCAAATAGCCAAAATACATAATAATAATGTTTATTTAATCAAAATCACAATATAAAGAATAAATAAAAATAAATATGTAGCAACGGCCCATAGGAGACATTGTCTATTGATGGAGCAGTATTGTTGCCATTGTACATATTATTGAAATATGAATAAAGATACAAATAATCAATGAATTTGATTACATTTACTATTAATTTGTGGGCGCCTGGTCTTGCCAGTGAAAAAAGCCATTATTTTAAATGAAATTGTTCCCATAGCGTAGGCTCTTTATATGGTCAGGTGAATTTACGTAAAATTTTGATCCTGAATAAAGGTATGATCTTTGTGTAGATTTACTTGGTATAGGTACCACTGTTCCTCTAAGTTTTTGTCTTGTGAGGTGATTGTGTTTAATTTTTCGGTCGTTATTAACACATTTGTGATAATTGACTATAGCATGTAAGAGATAAAACTGTTTCAAGTATATACGTGTATATCTTTGTATGTATAAGATATCAGTGGAATACAATTTTGGTTTGCTAAACATTGTTTTTGAAATTATTTTTTTGAAAAATATCCATATCATAAATGTAGCTCCCCATGCCAATATACCGTAGGCTGAATGTGGCTCGGTCAAGGTATGGTAAAGAGATATTTTTCTTTTAAAATGTTTTCGATGTACTTAATTTCAACCTTTTTTTTAAAATACATGAAATATGCACATTCCAACGCAACTGTAGAACCAGGAATATTCCAAGGTATTTTATATCTGATGCTTTATTAGGTACTTTATATTTCTTATTATTTATTTACGATAAAGGGCTAATTAGTGCTCAATTTTCTGCTATTAAACCACTGGACAATTCTGACAAAATCATTTAACTATACCCCGCACATTCAATTTGAAATGTATCATTTAAATATCTATATTAAGAAGCAGGGGACCTAGAACGGTTCCCTGTGGGACACCACATTTCGTTACTGAAAAAAAAAATACTTTAACGGATTACTGTGTAATGTAATTTTCTAGTAGTGAGTACATTTTTCCCTCTTTCAACTCTCCCCGATGTGTCTAACCATAATTTGTGTGGAAAGCTATTCTTAGATCGATACAAAGACAAAGGATTTTATCAAGATTTTGGAGTATTTGATTAACAACATTTAATATTGGGTCCGATCTAGACTTTCAGTTCATCCGTATTGGTTCTTATATAAAATTTTATATGAGAAAATGAAGCAATTTAGCGGATATTATTTTTTCAAATATTTTTGCTATGTCAGAGTGTTATATATCACATATATAGGTCGCTCGATATTTGTATCTGTCCGATCTCCTGATTTATATATTGGTGAACAATTTTTGTAGTTATTATTTCCGTTTATTAGTTTTGCTGCCATTCTCATTTGTTATTGTTAAAAACCATAGCAACGTTACTCAGATATTATCCAAAGCAACTTGATTATTATGTTATAAAAATGTATTATCATTATGCATTAGAACTTTTAAAAACAAATGTCTCGAAAACTATTAGCTTTAAACACTTCTAACTAGTGAAACTTTTTTGTTGTGAAAATACGAGAAAATAAGATGTTTCAGTCAGTTGTTGTATACAGGGTAGCACAAAAAAATTATGATAAGTTATTTACCGAAATAGTGCTGTAAGTGGCGCCCTCTACAAGTTTGGTCAGAAAGAATAACGGATACTTACTTCTCATGCTAGAAAACCTGCCTATACCCTAGTTTTATGCTAAAATCTGAAATACTTTTCAAGCAATAAGGAAAAATAGAGAATAATATTGTAACTTTAACACCCTGTATCTCGCAATCCATAATTTTTTGGACATAGGTATGTTTAGGTCAATTAACATATTTTGGTCTGTAGTATCTCCAGATTCGACACTATCCAACCTTTCGCAAAATATGAATAATTTCAGATTCAAGTTCTCCTAATTCCTAATATCCTTTCGCCACTAAGAAAGTTATTTATTTCATTGTTCACCTAAGCAATGGTACATTGTAGTAAATACGTAGATAAATGTAAATTGCGACCTAGAAATAGTTCGACAAGGCTTGATACATCTGCTGCCCTTACCTCGAAAATACAGAAAGGCATCTGGCCAATACGCTCTAAGAGCGGATCGATGTCACCCACCACCATTAAAAGGAAAACCCGTCCATCAGCCTGCATCCATTCTCAAGGCTATAAGCAGTGGCGTACAATGCAAAATTGCATAAATAAGCATAGGCTGAACTGAGTCTTGGCTTTCCGTCTCTGTGACCATGACCAACCATATACAACGTTATTTTATTTTTGGTGTAGGACTGGTCCTGGTAACAGACAGGTCAAAGCAAACTATATACTACCATTGATTAACGTATTCCACTTAAACGTACCTTATACTGTATTCCGACATCAAACAAGGGATCCGAAATATACTAGCGCTATCTGTGAGGCAATACCTGAATACAAAAACTAATTTTGGAATCTAAATACTTTGAAAACAGCATATTTGGTTATGCTAGTGTCATAGATAGCGCAAGGATATTTAATCCTTTTTTGTCTTTTCTAATGTCTTCTGTTGTATATCTTAAGACATTGATTTACGTAAGTTATCCAATTAAAATAGATATTACAGAGTCAAAAAACGGATAAAAGCTCCTGGTCTCATCTACGAGACAGTAGCAGAACCAAATGCTTATTACGTGGGTTTGTAGACCATACCCACTTGTTTGCTTTCCGTTGTCTGTTTTCAATCCAAGGCCTATACTGTACTGATGATTGGGAACGAGCGTGAAACAACATGGTATACAACACAGATTCACTTCAGCCCATGTTGTAAATGAACAGTATGTCATTAAGGGTATTACAAAATACTCATCATACGGAGAATAAATGGCAAGAAAACTTCGGGAGGTAGTGTATACATATCCCTCTTACCTCGTACATTAGAATTAATTATACTCAAGCAAGGTTACGATGACTGGGTTTCCCTAATTATTTTTTGAAGAACAATACTGTTTACTTGCAACACATAGCGCACTTATTCATCATCACAGCAAAACGATATTGCTGCTGGAATTACCATCAGAAATTTTAGTATACTTCATAATTACTATTTGGATAGTGTATTTAATATAATGTACAAACTAAAGATGTTTTGTTTATTAGTACCTACTGATATCACACGACAGGGCTTATCTAAACACAAATTGAAATGTAAGATTGTTGTTACAGAGCTTATTCATAGATATTTAAAATGGTGAAAGTTTCGAACCAATTCAATAAGCCAAAGTTAGCCTAATATACTTTCACTATCTCAGTTTACGAGCATGAAGGCTATCTGATTTGCGATTTAAAAACACATGTTTTGCTTATTTTCAGAATTTGCTACACTTTGCGAAACACCAAACCATGACCCAGGATACTGCGTGGAGATAAAATCATGCACAAGGCTGTTGAGCCAGCTAAATAACAGCAACGCAAGAAGTTTCTTGAGGGACTCAATGTGTGGACCAGAAAATGAAGACCTTAGCAATCCAAAAGTCTGCTGTGGACGATATACGAATTACCGAAATGTTAGCAAAAATATTGGTACATGATCACTGATATACGTTATTATTATAACATTGGCAGGTTATACAGGATATTACACTTAAGCAGTGCAGAAGTTTAATGCAAAGCTAATATTTGGGGTTCCGCCTCTAAATGTTCTCGAATGATACAACCTGGCTAGACAGCCAGCGTTATAAATAAGCATGCATAATCTTAAAACACGATTTTTGCTTTATTGTATTGCCTCTGCAACAAACTGACTAAAAAATAACAGATATATATATATACAGGGTGGCCCATCCATGTGTGGACGGAATATTACTCATAAACAAATACATTCTGGGAATATCTATTTATGGGATGTGATACATGACATTTGGGGTCACATTTTTAAAATATTGGCCATTATACAGGCTGTCCCAATTTCGACCTACATATCAAAGTTGTGATTTTTCAAATAGAATGCCTCAAATTTTACTGCATATTTGGATGAACCAATTCAAAAGAATAAAATTGATATATATATATATATATATATATATATATATATATATATATGATACTATTGTGCAATTTTGGATTCAATTTTTTATAAGCTTTTAAAAATTGAATCCAAATTTCAAAATGACGGATTGAGGAACTGCTGAAGTGGACGGTTTTTTCTGGACAAAACACCTTACATCTCAGTAGCTAATTACCAAAGCCCCATAGTATGTTATATCAATCTTCCTCGTTTGAATTGGTTTATCCAAATATGCAATAAAATTTAAGGCATTCCAATTAAAAAATCTCAACTTTGATATGAAGGTCAAAATTGGGACACCCTGTATAATTGCCAATATTGTAGAAATGTGCCCTCAAATGTCATTATATAACATGCCATTAATAGATGTTTCCAAAATGTATTTGTTCATGTGTAATTTTTCGTCCACGCATGGATGGGCCACCATGTATATGTACGAGTATATAAAATTTGAAATTTTTCAAATATTAGGAAAAACGCCCTATATAAGACGTAAGACAAAGGCATACTATAATATACTGCATTTCTTTCAGCCAGTCTGGACGTTCTTCCAAAAAATTGTGGCACACAAAAGTTGACTCTCAAGAGCAGAGTTGTAGGAGGTAAAGAAGCAGAACTGGGAGAGTTTCCATGGATGGCCAGAATTCTGCATAAAAACAGATATAATTTTAAATCGTTTGGCTGCTCTGGATTCCTGATACATTCCAAATATGTCATAACCGCCGCTCACTGTGTACACGATAAATTCCTTGAAGTTCGAGGCAAAGTGTAAGTATCAGAAATTGAATTTCATCTCACGTGCTAGTCAAGTATCAAAATGGAAGAGATTAGTATAACTCAACGTACGCCACTGCTAAATCAATGTGTATGTGTGTACATGTGCGCGGTTTTTACTGTATCCAAAGGTACACCGCATTAACAGTGACATACGCTACTTACTTTTTCTATTTTGATACGTAACTATGAGATGGCGCTGTATATAGTAACTATGTAACTTTTCGCGTTCACTTCTGTATTTCACTATGAAACTTGTACAGTTAGTTCTACTATTCGATGACAAAATAATATTTTTGGGCAGCCTGTGGGACTACCATCAAGTCCGAACTCTGATTCAATCACTCTATATTGCAGGAAGTTGTTTTATAAAATCGATAAAGCTATGTATACAATTTAGATAGGTGTTAAAAAAAGTAGTATTTTTTGACAAATATACTTGAAGGATGGTTGACATTTGCATTATTTTTAAAGGTATGCTGTTCATCTTGGAGAACATAACATAGAAACAGAGGTGGATTGTATGCATGGTATCTGTGCAGACCCACCTCAAGTGAGCAGGGTGGCAAAGGTTATCGTTCACCCGGATTACAATCCAAATGAAAGGTCTCAATATAACGATATTGCGATTTTGTACCTGAAAAAAGGAATGAAAGTAACAAGTAGGTATCAGAAACGAAAAATGTTTGCGTAGCTTGTTTAGAAGAAGAGTAGGACAACCTCAATAATTTTCCAAGATCAACCATTTCATTTCACAAATGCACAAAACGATGAAATATTCGCATTGTTTAAAAATACCCTTGAAGCTCCGATTCATTATTACATAAACAGCATTGTGAACTCTTAGTTTGTAACTCCGTAACCGAATTATGTGAAATATTCGCTGATAGCGATGTGATCGCCATACCTGTCATTTTTTTTCTGGATGTCGAGAATGCCTTTGATAAGGTGTGGCACGCAGACCTCCTCTATAAACTAATTCAAAACGGTTTCCCTTTTTGGCTATTAAAACTACTCAAATCTTTCCTAGAAGGAAGGAAATTCAGAATCAAAATTAACACTGTAGTTTCTACAACACGGCGCATTCGGGCCGGAGCTCCGCGGGGATCGGTCTTAGGACCGCTCTTATACTCGATTTTCATTAACGACGTCCTCCACCCCCGACGACACCGCATTAGTAGCCCAGTGATGTTCTAGTGACATAGTTCATGACAGGCTGCAAGAAGCGGTGGATGAGGTTTTAGGGCGAATCGGTGGCTAATCAAAATTAATTTTTCAAAGACACACGCTATCTATTTTACAAAAAAGCGCCGTGGTGCCCAGTCAGAGATTACTGTGGATGATGTTTCAATACCATGGACTAACAAAGCTAAATATTTAGGTCTTACACTCGACAAGAGTATGACTTGGTAGTCACACATTAAACAACTGAAAATTAAATTCCAAATTACATTTCGGCAATTGTATCCTCATTTATGTAGAACATCAAAATTGAGTTTGGTCATATTCGGATATACAAAAACCTGACCAGACCTGCAATAACCTACGCATGTGCGGCTTGGTGCTTTTTAGCTAAATCACATATGCGTAAACTACAAGTTCTGCAGAGTAGAACTCTCAGAACAATAACTAATGCCCCATGGTATGTATCAAACGATACCATCCATAGAGATCTTGACATCCCCTACCTTAGGGATCACATCATAGGCATGGCACAACGGCGCTACTAGCAAGCGGAATCACACAGTAACCCTTTGTTGCGTGAAGCAGTGGATTACACAGTCGAGGAGATACACAAACATTTCAGGCCGCCACTCGCACTGTGAACAAAATTAAATTCATGTTCAGACCTTTAAGAATTATAGCTTTGAAAAACCAAAGACCCAAAATTCAGTTCAGGACAAGTCAAAAATTTATATAGTATACGTACAATGTAACAGTTCTTATATCTATCACACCTCAAATATTTACATAAAACAATTCTCCCTTCCTTTCTTTCTCCCTCTCCCCTTTCCCCACAACTTGTCTGGTTTCTGGGCCACCAGACCTGACAGACTGACGACAGACAGTGACATTACAGTGACTATGACCTAAAGGCTAAGAAGCAACGACGAGTAGTAGTACTTGTCATTTTTGTACTAGCTAGTCGCACCCTACACGTACTTGCTGTGGAGGACTTATAGTATACAACTTAGGCCATAGAATATATGACTGGCCTCCGCTAGTGACATATATGAAGCGGATGTTACATCAAATAAGAGCAACAGCAAGTATGTTGACATTTAGGCATCACACACAACTACTACAAGTGAACATGAAAAGAAACATACGTCCAAAGTGACAATTATGTTGACAAAATCGCTATCGCTAACATTTTGCAGTTCTTTTGATCAAACTATCTTTACGTTTGAATTTTTAAATTACTTTTTATTGAATTTATGTAGTACCTACATAATTCTTCACGATACTTTACGTTTTGACGTCTACTGCTGGCAGTAGTGAATCTGGTGAAACTCAGGATCGAATTGACACCAAATACAGCTGTACGAGTACCTACATACGACTCTGTGTACAGATCCTCGAGAATCTTATCACTTGGCGATATGGGGTATTTTCAAAATCACTAGATGATCAGCTGCTATTTGCTATCCCCTTTTGTCTTGATGAAGTGTCGCCAAAAATAACGTACTCTATTGTCCTTAACTCGTTTTCACCAAATGTGGAAACTCAGGAGTTCCAGAAAATTATTTTTTCTGGGTGTAGCTTCTGAATACATAGATTTTTGGTGAATTTATTTATTTGTTTATTTCGTTCTTTTTGTGCAGATTTTATACGACCCATATGCCTTTTGGAGGACCCATCGCAGAAACCTCATAAGTACATTGTGAGCGGATGGGGTAAAACAGAGCAAGGCTAGTGAGTAAACAGGTACCTTCAGACAAAATGGCCTGACATTGAGGTTTTTCAGATAGGGTAAGCGCAGTTAAGATGAAAGTAGATTTACCATATATAGAAAAAGAAAACTGCAAACAGTCCTACAAGGCATTGGGAATGGAACTAATCGAAAGTCAAACTTGTGCAGGAGGAGAAGCAGGCAAAGACAGCTGTAATGGCGATTCTGGAGGGCCTCTCATGATGACAACCAACGGTATAGGCACATTGTTTTAATATCGACAATCCCTGTAAGATCAATATGTCATAAAATTGTTCAATACGTCATTCATAGCTTTGGTATGTAGAAGACGCTGTGACTTTGGTGACAACAAGATTTGGACTCTTTTGAATGGAATGTGGCCTGTATAAATCCAAATTAATTATATCAAGGGGCAAAATAAATGGGGATGTGCAAGTGATGGTGGACAATTTGTACTTCGCATAACTATGATATAAAATGTTTTACCCTATGGGATAATGTTATATGGACAAATATGTGCGCTGATGATAATTATGCTTTCAGGAACAGTCTGGTTTGCTGCGGGTATCGTCAGCTACGGAATAGGCTGTGGCATGGAAAACTGGGCAGGAGTTTACTCAGACATTCCCAGTTTTATTCCTTGGATCAAGACTGTCATTGTAGAGACTAACCTGCTAAATCCAAAGAGCCTACTCATAGCAAGAAGAAAAGGAGGAAAACTTATTAAGAAAAACAACGACACTGAGTCTGCTTAATGATTTGATAATTCTTATGTAATCATTAAATGTTCAGAATAACTGTTTGAAGTTTTTCTGTGAAATGCAAACAGTACACTCACGTAAGGTAAAGGAATAGGGATTGTTACTAGCTCCTGGAGGTCTTACACAGAATAAAATGACTCTTACTTATTAATGTCTCACTATCTTATCATCCATCAAATCTACAAAGACTGACCTGAAGTTCTAAAGGTTCATAAATCTACAAAGGGTAACAAGCGATAATTTGTATATTTTTTGATTTTACAACATCAAATATCCCAATTAAAGCAACATACAAATAGTAAAACTGAGTTGCATGTATAATTTTTAACAAGGATAGTTGTCAAATATGTATGGAGGTAACAAACCCACAAACAGCTTTTTAAAATTAACTTACTCGTTTACAATGCATTTTGGTAACAGACTAGAAGACTCAGAACCAGAAAAAGAATAAAACAAGTCTCAACATAAGAATCAGGTATTTAACGTGCAAGGACAATCATGAACCTCTACGTCGAGGTAAGTATATTTTTTCACTACTAGCTATGATATATTACCACATATAGTTTGATAAGATTTTGAAATATATCATATCGTATTTGCATATTTGCATCACAGGATGCTGCGTATGAGACGGAAGCTGCAGCTACATGACGGTCTACAATAAAGATGGAGTATGCTACGTACGTAACATGCCATCCATTTCCTACTTATTTTCAAATATTTTAACAGCAATAACTTCATAATTTGGACTTTGTATTTACTTTGTGGTAGCCAATGAATAATCATCAATGTCAATAATAACAGTAATCTCCAAAAATGAAGATAGGGTTAGCACTGACAGTTGTGTATCCAGCAAGCCAACTCTACATAAATTCAAATGATTATTATTTACCTAACTTTTTGTTTATTATCATTATTAACTTAGGTCAAAAATATAACTATATATACAGGGTGTTCCTTAATGATATGCGAATATTTAAAAAAAAATGTTTCCTTACAAAAACTCGGGGTGTTGAAGTTTTAGGAAAAAAAATAGAAATTTATTATTTATATTTTCAGTACCGCTTCAGATATTTCACTGAGATTTAGTACGTAGTGAAAGCTAATAAAGTTGCATATTTTTCAATGCAAAACTAATGTTTAGCTTTAACAGCTTACGGGTATTGACTTCGATATTTTTTAAGAAAAAAATGGTACTCCAATGGTTTTTGCAAAATAAAAATTATTTTTGAATTCCGCGTTCAATTTGAAACAAATAATCTCTGTGGAATTGTTCTCCTTCGATGCGTCATTTATGAGTAATAAATAAAAACCGTTCGATTTCCGAGAAAATTAATGTAATAATTGAAGAATGCAATTTAGCAATAAATATCTAGTTGCTCTGGAATATGTCACTGGCTTTTGACATCTGACAAGTCTGTTATTCAAATCTATTCGCTGTGACATCTCTTTCATTATTTAGTTTTTACAATCTTGTTAATAATGGTGAATTATTCAAATGCAGAAATGGCGGAAATACATTACGTATATAGCCTTGCCGACGGTAATGGTGAGAAAGCCAGACGGATTTATCACCAGAGATATCCCGATAGTGCTTTGCCAGATAGTCGAACCTCTTCTAATATTCATCGTCGTTTTGTTGAAACTGGTTCTGCCCGAAAAGGAACATCTGAAGGTAGACCTCTAAGTGTGAGAACACCTGAAATTGAGGAAGCAGTGCTGCATGAAGTCGAGGAACAGACACTTAAATATTTGCCATCAAATTGTTTGGAGAATTTTAGTGGATTTTTTGTTATATCCTTACCATATTTTAAGAGTACAGGCATTACTTCCCATTGATTTTCCAAGGCATGTGGCTTTTTGTCAGTGGTATCTTCAAAAAATTACACAAAATCCGCAATTTGAATCAATGATTCTGTTCACGGACGAAGCTAATTTTTCTCAAAATGCCATTCAGAATTTCCACAATAATCATTTGTGGGCAAAAGAAAATCCCTATGCCGTAACCGAAACCCATTTCCAACACCAATTTTCGGTTAATGTATGGGCAGGAATTATTGGCGACAACTTTATTGGCTCATTCTTCTTGCCGGGATGACTTGATGGACAGACTTACCTCATTTTTCTGCAACAACAGTTGCCTTTGCTGCTTGATGATGTTCCGTTAGTAATAAGAAACAATATGTGGTATATGCATGATGGTGCACCAGCGGATTTCAGTGCAGCGGTTCGTAATTATTTACAAACTGTTTATCCAAATCTTTGGATTGGCCGCGGCGGGCCCCAAGAGTGGCCACCAAGGTCTCGAGACCTCAACAGTTTAGATTTATTTTTGTGGGGCTATCTGAAGACACTAGTGTACACAAGTCCCATTAACACTCTAGAGGAATTAAGAGAAGGAATAGTTGCAGCTTGTGATAGAATAAAAAACACTCCAGGGATATTTCACGAGCGCGCAATTTCATGAGAAGGCGAGCGGAAGCATGCATCCTAAGTGAAGGGGGCCATTTTCAACAATTTTTGTAATCATTTTGTTGGGTTTAATGTTATGTTTATCTTGTCAGTTGTTGTTGTTGCTCATTACCATTTCCCTAGGTTTGTAAAATCCTGATTGTAATTTTGAAGATTATCTATACTGATATCAAGCTATCCATGTTCTTGGTTTTTCTGGAATGAGCACACACTGTCAAATATGCGCTACGAAAAAAAAGTACAAGCCTGATTTCACGGTTTGTCGGCCTCGTGTACCTCAGAAAATAAAGCATTATTTTTAAATATTTCAAGATTCGAGCTTCTATTATTTATGATATATAGTAACAATCTCGAAGCATGACAACCAAATCATGTTGTTCAATGATAAATTATACGTAAATACAGATATCACTAGGCCGCGTTTCGTTGTCTACATGTTAATTTCAAGACTGGTCATCGAATTTAGTAAAAATAAATAAAACAGATAACCTTGTGGCTTTGCCCGCTAGTCATACCGGGTGGTACAAGGAACATTTATATCATTAATTTAATAAACATGAAATAGTAACAGTAGACTGCGGGCATTAATGATATCTGCAATCTTATACCATTGAACCGATTCACCGAAAAAGAAATATGAGTAATAGGAAAATCCATAGAATCAGTTTCAAGAACCATAAGTTACGGTAGGTCGCCCAGTAATATATTATCTGTTTTTCTGTCTTTATCCTCTCACTTCTCTCATCGGAATTACCAGTTAGTCGTTGAACGTTTCATTATTATAACTCTTAGGAAATATTCTACCGATATGTAAAAGCTTCCGGAAAAGATGTATGGATTTTCTCCTTATTATACATCAGTGCTGACAGAAACTTGTACCTGCGAATGACACAGGGCGATAAGTGATATAGACATGTATATATATAAAGTGCTAGTAACTGTGCTATTTGCTTTTATTTGTGGAACTGTAAATGCAGGTAAGTTTAATTGCAATATAAAGCTAGAAGCTTGAAAATTATTGTACAATGCTGTCTTAATATTTTACTAGTACAAAGACTGATTCCGTCGTTGTGATGCCTCAACCAATTCTACGCCATAATGCATTCATACAACAATGTTGACAAAGAAAATAGTCCGTAGAATATCATATTCTGTATAAGTTCCTATAATACCTAAATTTCGATAATATGAGATGAATCAAAAATATCTTATCAGAAATCTGAAGCTTTCTTCTGAGAGTGCAGACTATTGCTTATTCCGAAGCAGCCGTTCAGGTAGACGAATCCATGCTAGGACACCGCGGATGCTATGTGATTTATAACCAAAAACCACCTGATACTTGTGTATCTTCTACTATCTTTGCTGTATATAATATGACGATATGAAGTAATGCGACCATATTTCAAAATATTAGTTGATGGCTTAAACATCCTTTTGGATAAAGTTCTATTCCCTAACCAATCGACGTAACCTGCTTCTCTTAATATTCTTGCATAATACCATAGATAATACATAGAAATCGTATTGCTCTATTGTTGATAATAGTTGTGCGTATATAATTCCAATAAGCCATGTAACTCAGGATTTGTTGACATGAAGAATTTGATAAAAAGATGTTGTGCTGTCTACTATGTATATTGTATAATTGTAGATTGCTGATCACTTTATTATGCCATGCTGACCTCTGAATAATTCTGATATAGCATCTTTATAATATGGTCAAAATCAATAAACAATGGAAACAGGTCAATATTTTGTTTATGTCTAGAACAGTGCAATGATTTTGGTTGATATTGTTGAAATGTCCTAAATTTTTAGAAATAAAGTAGGCTATCATCGACTAAAACTTACGTACTGTCCATAAATAATTATTTCTTTAGCATGTTATTGAATAAATAGTTCAGAAATAAAGCTCCATAAACAAGACTCAAAAATATTTGGTTTTATCAGACGAATCGAGCAGAAAACAATACCGCCTTTGCACCGAAGATTTGAAAATACAATTATTCTTTTTATAAATACCTAAAATTTTCTATACTTACAGATCTAGGAGATATATGTTTAACTCCAAATAATGAACGAGCAACCTGCAAGTCCATTTACGATTGCCAAATCTTACTTAACGTCATAAGAACTAAAGACCAGAGACAACTACGTTTTTTGAAAAATTCTCAGTGTGATGGATATTACCATGGTGATCCATTGGTGAGTACCATGGCTGCAAACTCAGTGCGAGTTAGTTTAAACTATAAGCATCTACAGGAAGAAAGAGAAAAAGAACTATAAAATTACCCTATTACAACCTATTCAGAAATAATTCACCTCATTTGAGTCCATCTTATAATTGAGTGTTCATTTCACTGAACTGAGATAAGCTACTTCTTGACGTCATATCTGATCATGCTTTTAGGTATAGATTGAGAATTTCTCAATGTATCGCTCATATGGAACACAATGTAGTTAATGAGGAAATTTTGTGTTTTAGGTGTGTTGTGGTACAGACAACAACTATGCTGTGATCTCATCTTCCACACAAAGAGACAAAAGGCCGAGACCAACAAGTGCGGAGAGGCAAGAAGATAGAAGACGCTGGAGAACAAGTGGGGAGAACGACGATAGACGTAATGACAATTCAAGGAGAGATGGTAATACACGGGGGGATAGTGATGGCTGGAATAGCAATACAAAAAGGGATGATGATAGAAATAGTGACAATACGCGGAGAAATAATGGATGGGGGGATGGAAATGATAGAGGAACGGGGGGAAGTGGTAATAGAAATAGAGGAAGAGACTTGCTTCCAAGTGCGGGTCAGTGCGGTTTCCAGGTAACTACAACTAACTAAAGACGCTTGCTCGGTTAAAAATTATTTCGCTAATTTCACTTAGTACATAGTATTTTTTCAAAAATGTCTGAAATATCAATGTACGATGAAACAGTAGCAAAAACGTTGAAAATACATTAAAGTATGCTCTATTCAATTTTTAAGTTCTACTCAGTCGCATGTTTTGCTCGTAAACACTGTAGAAGTAGCCGCACTGCGGTTCAGATACATAAGTTCATTAACTTCATTCTAAATTAGCAACATTTGCGGATGAGATCTTCAACTGAGTCCACCCGATACATTGATTTATAAATTTATAAGCAAACGTATGGATCCCAGGACGGAAACACCCAGGAAAACGATCTCAGTACACTCGCAAAGTATCCGCAGACTCACCATAAAGTAACATCAAATGGACAACTTCGTTATTGCTATTGGAATGAGTCAATTTCAGTTTTTTTCAAATCGATTTGCAAATAAACAGCTAGATTAACCGACGCGCCAAAATTGTTTTGAAAACTGGCGCACGTCGTACTTTTTCACGCACGCTGGATGCTGGACCGGGGGGCCCATTCAGACATGTTTTGGAACTTAACGGCTCGGTTATCTTAAAGTTTTTGTATATCTAATGCTAAGAAAATTTGATTGTAACATAAACTATATGCTGTCTTTCTTGTATTAGGAAGTTGACAGGATATATGGTGGCACTGAGACAGCTATAGGTGAATTTCCATGGATGGCACTACTCCAGTACCAAGATAGATCTGGTTACAAGAAGTTTGCCTGTGGTGGTTCTTTGATATCTTCCCGATACATATTGACAGCGGCACATTGTGTAGTTGGAGAAATTGAACGATCAGTTGGAAAACTGTAAGTACCTACTTTCATGACTCTTATTTCTAGCATTATGGAACTTCCATTATTTCAGTACTCTATGAGCTGTCCACAAATGACATATGCATCGGTCTACTAGGTACTGATATGTGCAAAATAAAGTTTTCTGTCTTTGAGACAGCTTCATCCATCTTGCTATTTTACATTGTACCACTGCTCAATTCCAGAATCAAGGTACGATTAGGCGAGCATGATACTAGGCAAGACAGGGACTGCATACAGAACAGGGTCTGTAACGAGCCACCTTTGGACATTGATGTTCAATCATCTCATGCACATTCCAGCTACAACTATAATGATAACCAGAGATACAATGATATAGCACTTGTGAGGTTAAGCGAACCAGTTAGATTCAGCAGTAAGTATACACATTCATATGCTGTTTTATACCAAACACCTCAAAGACCAGTGGTTGGTTTGGCCTAACGACTTGAAGTAAGTGCCAATGAGTCGTTTGCCTAAGATTTTCACACTTCGGATCAAAAAATCCTGAACATGTACCTACTCAAATACATCTATTTATATATATATATATATATATATGTGTATATGTATAATATTTGAATAATATTACATCAATATTTTAGGGTGCTGTTTAAGACTTTAATACTTATTATTTGAATTGGCCATTTGGCAGCTGAAATTTTGCCATGATGGAACATTTTTTCAAATATAATGGAGAGTCATGTGATATCTCAGTCTGACGCTTCTTATTGGTACTTGATATGGTTTATTTAACCACCAGAAAACATAGAGATTCAAAACGACAGACTTTGACAACTTTTTTTCGGGGGAGTGTTCCATATTACACACACACTCAGACCCTTTTTGAAAGATAGTGATTTCATACATAAGAGGCTGGGAAGCAAGATGTCTACGACCCACCATTTTATTTGAAACAATGTTCCAAGATGGGCTAAGCCGCCATATTTCAACTTGCACGCTGAAATATAGTATTTTACGTTACTAAATTAACTCCTCAAAAAATCAATTAGGGTAGGCCCTTTCTCGCAAGCTCCTTATGTATAAAAAAAGGCTTATAATGTATATCCTTGACTGGAGGAATATGAAAGATAACGGACTTTCTTGAGATCAGCCTTAGGCTTAAAAATATAATTGTTATCAAAAATTGCGGCGAATCAACCAAAGAGCTATAGTAGTACATCAACAGGCCTAAGGGTACCTGCACATCATGCGAAACGTTTCCATGTGAATTTTCTAAAATTCTATTTAAACAGCTATTCCTAGAAAGTCTTCATAGGTACACTTAGCGGTTAACTGTTTCCAGATTATATTCGTCCCATCTGTTTGCCACAACCCGGCGAATCCTCCAGCCTCGGACACAAGGTGACAGTTGCAGGCTGGGGCAAAACCGAACGGACTCAACGAAGTCCAGTCAAGCTGAAGGTTCAGATACCCATTGCTGATTCCGACACGTGTAGAAACGTGTTTAGCAGAGCGGGCATTAGATTGAGGGGAACGCAAATATGCGCTGGAGGAGAAAGGGGAAAGGATTCTTGTACAGGTATGTCTTCCACTGATGTATATTGAATATTTGTGAAATGAAGTAGATTACGTCACTTTTTTCATCTCAATATTTTATCGAAACTTAGAAATTATGTATGAAAAATAATATCAGCCAAATGTCCGTCTCTAGATGCCGCGCAAACCTGAGCCCTCTTGATGACATTCTCCATCACTTTTTGGTAGGTTTCGGGAGGAATATTTTCATCGCTTCTGTAATATTGTTCTTCAGCTGCTTTACAGTACTTGGATTGTTGGTATAAGCCCTATTTTTCGAAAATCCCCAGTTAACATCACCAAATCGAGAAATTAAACTTCCCGGAAGTATTGTTCGCAAAAGATTAATTGTTTCCCTAACTGTGTGACAAGTTGCACCGTCCTGCTGGAACCACATGTTTTGCGGGTTGAATTGTTGGATTTGAAGAGCCAGTAAGTGTTGCACCATATCACGGAAGCGCTCGTCAGTGACAGTAAGAGAATCACCTGCAGTGTCTTCAAAGAAATAAGATCCAGTGACACCTCCATACCAAACACCGCACCAAACTGTGACTCGATGAGGATGTAGTGGTCGTTGATGGATGACACGAGGGTTCTCTAATGCCCAGATAGGACAATTCTGCTTACTAACAAATACGTTCATATCGAAGTGGGCTTCATCGCTCATTATCAGTTGTCGGTAAAAATCGTTATTTTGGATATTAAGCTGCAATATTGCATGACTCTATTGTCGGCGACTTTCATGGTCGCTAGTCTGTGGTTCTTGGTTTAACTGAATTTTGTATGGCCGCAAATGCGTCTTTTTTTTAAATAGTGTATAATAACGTGCGACGAATACCCAGTTCTTGAGAACGATGCCTGGTAGACGTCTCAGGGCGCTCCACTACACTTTCACGAACTTATAGATTAAGAATCTTTATATGTAATTTTGGAAAAAATACATAGATGGAAATAAATTCACAATCCTCAAGTTTTAAAGAACTCTTGAAACTATTGATCGTGAAATTTTACTTAAAAGCATAGAGTATTATGGCATACTGGTACAGTCTGGAATGGTTTAAGATTTATGTGTAAATAGCTTTCACAAAACTAAGATTATTTATTGATACAGTATCTATAGAGGTGTTCCTTGGGGGTACTGGAACGGTTACTATTTATAATTTATCTAAATGATAAATATTACATTCCAGATCATATAGTCCTTTTCGCTAACGATACCATGGATTTTGTTTCCAACGACTCTCTTAATAGTGCAATTGACAAAATCATTCATTCATTAGTAAACATTGAGAACTACTTAAACATTAATAGAGAACACTGGAAAAACAAAAGCAATGGTTATTCTACCAAAATAAAAGTTAAAAGATTTGATAGCAATTCAATACTTATTCGGGTCGGCTATGATGATATAGAAGATTTATGTCAATGTATAAGAATTTTCTAAGCTAAATTTACTACATTTAATGGCATCATTTTGACTATTGCGCCTCAGTACTAAAAAACAAAAGTCACATTAACATAGACTAAAATAGAGAGGTGCGTATGATACTCAAATGTAACCATCTTACATCAATTCTACTTACACTATTTAGGCTTAAATTTAATATGGTATTTATGCATTAAATTTTTCAAATCATGAACAGTAACTTTCTCAAGTGATTATTCATTGCTTTCATATGATGAAAATGATATTTTGATAAGCCTGTAAATCCGATTGTCTCTTTTAATTAAAATATTTCGTCTACTATAAAAATGATTTCATTACATGTATTTATGGATTAATTGTTATCAGGTGACAGTGGCGGTCCTCTAATGAGAACAAGAGCAAGTGATGCTTCTCAATGGTACGTTGAAGGTGTTGTGTCCTTTGGGGCGCAGTGTGGCACAGAAGGATGGCCTGGAATCTACACCAACGTTGCCAGCTTTTTGGACTGGATATATGATACTGTTACAGACTAATAGTATAGACTTTTTTAGCTTTTAGTTACTATTTACAATTCATTTTCCCATAAATTATGAATAAATGAATGACAATAAGTTTTATATTTGCCATAAATCAATTTAATAATACATACAGTGTTTTTAACTTACAAAAACGTATACGATTTAGGCCAATACCAATACTCAGCACAAAAGTGGATCCGAAATACCATTCAATTTCGCAATTTCTTCAAAATTCGATAAGAATGCTAAAATTATCCCAATAGGTACTTCAGGATTTTGTTTTTAGATACAACCAGCAATTTTGGAAACCCAGACGATCATTTTTCGGCTGAAACTTCCAGTAAACTTTTAGCACAATTGCGGTTTATTTTCAATAGTAAATTGAAAAGTGTCATTAATAATAATAATAATAATACAGTATTGACCCGATAATCCGAATTGCTATAATCCGGATGCTCCAATAACTCGGACCTGTCCGGATCAGATATTAAGTTCTCAACAGGCTCAATCTTGTTAAATATCACACCATGAACGACGCGACCAGGACGCAAATAAAACAGAACCTTTCCACGGGTAATTCAACGACAAACGCCATGGATTCTACACGAAAACACATAAGTTTGTCGATCCGAAAGAGATCTGAAATTTTAGACAAACTAAAACGAGGTGATAGTGGTAAAAAGTTAGCTGCAATGTATGGAGTGGGAAAATCCACCATATCAGATATTAAGAAAAACAGGGGCAAGATAGGTGCGTAAGAGTTATACAATTTTGAAAAAAATGTTTTTATATTTAATACATTTAATATTTTAGTTTTATGAAGAAATGCATTTCTGGTCCAGGTAGCAGAAAAACTTTGCGGACTGCTGAACATCCTGAAATGGAAAAGAAACTTTACGAGTGGTTTCTGCAACAGCGTGATCGGCACATACCAGCAAGCTACGCTATTCTGGCAGAAAAATCAAAATATTTAAAAAAAAATGTTACAATAAAGATACATTTGAAGCGAGTAGGGGTTGGCTCTTGAAATTCAAACCCTCAAAAGTTAACTCGGATCATAAAAGAAAAAGGACTATCTTCAAGCCTAATCTATAACGCTGATGAGTCCGGCTTGTTTTGGAAATTGATGCCGCAACGAACATTAGTCCACTTAAAGGAAACATCAGCTCCAGACCGAAAAACAAGTAAGGAGAGAATAACTTTTCTGGCGTGTACAAATGGAACTGGTTTGCACAAATTGAAACTTAACTTTTGGTAATCGGCGAATCTAGAAATCCAGGGCTTTTAAAAACAGAGGCACGAGTTTACCGGTGGAGTATACGTCTAGTAAAAATGCATGGATGACTTCTTATTTATTTAAAGAATGGTTTCATAAATCATTTTGCAAGCAAGTTTCAGAATTCTTGAAAAAAGAAGACATTCCCGAAAGAGCAAATTGATAACGCACCTATCCGATGCAGTGAAAAGGAATTGGTTTCTGAAGATTAACCAAATTAGTTTATAGAAAAATTTATTGGCTCACATTTTCTGTACTCTGGATCAAGAAAACAATGACCTTAGTAAATCTTTAAAAAACTTCAATCCAAAAGGCGCAGTTTGCTTATTACATAATGCATGGACAAAAGTGTCAACAACTGCTTTAGAAAAAAGTTGTTAGCTGAAAACTAAGATTATGACCCGGAAGATTCAATACCATTAAGATTATTGCGCGTACAAATAAAGCAGCAAATGGAGACTATTGAGGACATTTCAAAAATGTTAGAAAAAACACCATCTGAACAATTTACAGAAGGGGAAATCTCTGAGTAGGTGGAAGAAACTGAAGAACATACGCTTCAAGACGAATTTCAAGATTCTATTCTGAAAATTCACTAAGTGACGTAGAAACACAGAATGGAAATCAATTCACTGTTCCAAAAGTTAAACATGAAGAGGCAACTAGGCATTTTACAGCAGGGATTAAATGGGCAGAAGACAACAATATTGCACTTCAATACTTGCCATAAAAGACTTAAGAGAAGAAGCTGTTATTAAGTTGCATTCTGAACATAAAAGGCAAGCAAAAATAACTGATATTTTTAATAACTAAATTTTTGTTACTTTTTTATTTTATTTGCTTATTTTAGCTATGTAGATAATTTTTATGAAATAAACATGTTTGTAATATCAAGAACTTGTTTTCCTTCCTAATCCGGATTTTTCGTTAGTCCGGATTGTACCTGATCCGGATTATCGAGTTGCTACTGTAATAATAATTCGGGCTTTATTAGGGCGATATTTACTCAACGGTAACTCTTACATTTAATTGTTGAGAAAGTAGATCATACAGGAATTTGCAGAATAACGTAAATCACTTACTAAATCAAAACGTGTATTCTGATGCAACTAAAGCTTGGTATTGTGGTCTTGATCCAATCGGATAGTCTGTATGCTACTTTGTTTTTCTTGTACACATTAGCCTCAGGGCGAGTAGTGAAATACTTCAATTAAAAAAGGAGAATATCCCAAACTCCCTCATATATGCATCGTACATCCACATTTTATAGCCACATAAAGTGAAACGTAAACTAACTTTGCATTATATTAAATATTCCGACGATTCGACGTTTTTACAATCCATAAAAGTGCGAGAGATAGCGTAAGAAGGACGTGATGAAAATTCAGACTTTACGATAGAATGAAAAAAAGTTTCAAACTGCCAGACAGAAGTTTCATAAGTTTCATTTGAGAGACGAAATTGTGTGGGCAGGATCTTTAACATATATCAGACATCGGATATTATTTTCACCTTTTCAGGAGGCATTATTTCGCACGATATTTCAAAACAAACATAATCAAATAGTGGAAAACAAAGCTTGCCTATAGTAAATACATTTTATGTTGTTATGAATCAAGTCACCAAAGAAGCAAGAAAAATCAATTTTTGTTGAAAATAATAAAACTTGGAGATGGAAAAGTTGCAAATGAGAAAAATAGTGAGTACTTTAAGTACTCAGGTACTATGCTATTGACGTGCAATGCTAGCGACATAATCAAAGAAATGACAACATAAGTGATGCAATTGTTTAAAGTTCGAAATACTAAGTTCTTTGATCACAAGTGGGTTTCAGCACAGCGCAAGATGAAGATGTTCACGATCATTTGCCTGCTTTTTGGCTCTGAGTCAAACGACAAAGAAGCAAGATATGGAGATGAAGTATCCGAGAAGAGTTAAATGAGCTCCACGATTGGACAGAATCAGAAGTTAAGTAATCGGGAAAGGATCAAGAGTGGACCCAATTCTGAAACTGACAAAACAGAATCACTTAAAATGGTTTGCTCACATAAGCAGAATGAAAATCAATCGACAAGTTAAGCGAGTTTGGCAAATACTTTACTAAAAGTTAAAGGGTTAGGGCATAGCAAACTTGGAATAATGAAATCGAAAAGGCAGATTGAAATAGTGGATTGAACATGCGGAACGCGAAAATTTTTGGAAAGTACGATTAATTGATATTTTAGACTATTGTGTCCACTGAGTGGAATAAATACTTAATTATAGTATGCATGGTAAATCTTTGTAATCGGTAGAGAGCTCCGTTATTATAAATTATACTAAAAAAGTTACCAAAAAAATATAGGCATATATACGCCCTTGATGCAGAAAATATGCCGCCTTCTATAGCGCAATCCATATTGCAAGCATGCATTTTTTCAATGGATCACCCTATATACTTTAGCATATTCTCTAGGATATCTCTTCAAATGAAGAAATTTGATATGGATGATAGAAGAACAAACCCTTCGTTAAGATGAACTTCATATCCCATGATATCTCATAATTTCGGCACCTTTTTTTAGATATTGTGCTTAATCAGTAGAGAGTGTTCATAAACGCAAAATGTTGTTTTTCTCAAAGAATTCAAATGGAGTACCTTAATTTGTATTATATGCTACAGTTGCGTGGAGGGGAGACAGGGGAACATGTGATCCGCCTGCAGTACAAGTTTGAACTCGCTCGAGTTATTTGGTTTTCCGTAGCGACATTTTTTGTGAAAGCTTTATCTATTGTGTTCTAAAAATGAGTTACATCAATTTCAAGCATCGGTGTGCTATCAGGTTCCGTTCATAAGGTCAAGAACAACTGGGCGCTGCATCATGATGTCAGAAATATCAATAAACGACTTTTTGGCCAGTAAAAATTCCTCCTTATTCACTTGAGTCCTTCTTTTCTTACCGAGGTTGAAAAATCACCTCAAGGGAACTCATTTTGGGACAGACGAAAACATTCAAACGTCTGTAATAGACCAGCTGTAGGCTATTCCAATATCAGAGTTCCAGCACTGCTATGAGAAGTGGAAGAACCCTCTACAATGCCGCGTGGCTTCAGAAGGAAGTTATTCTGACGCTGACAATATAAAATTGTAATTACATTTGAATAGAAAAGTTAAAAAAAATCATTCTCATCATTTAATTTACAGACCTCGTATATACCGGGATGGGGGATAAAAGAAACCATTAAGCAAGCAAAATTGCTTCTAGGAATAAGCTACTCTCTCGTATAACATACATTTCTGTCGTAAAATTTCCGACATGCTTTTATAGAGCATTTTAAATTTCAGAATCGCAAATGTTCGTAGTAATATGATTTGACATTTCACACTTTACATTGAAATCAAATTCTCAAGTTGCAAAGCTCTCATATTTGAAACGCACTTTTATCCAGTACAATTTATCTTGATGTTCTGTAATATCCCTAGAAGCACCCATTTTTCATATTCCATCAAAAACTTTTTCATCCGAGACTATTCACTTAGACACGAAGAAATATAAATCGCGATTTTATTCCTACGCGCATATAGGTGTATTTTTCTCTTAGCTTGACAAGTGGGGAAAAGGCAACTTGTCATTAATCAAACAGCTCGACTTTAAGAAAAAATGTCTTTCAAAATACAGCTTAGACGTGAATATATGGAGAACCAATAAATTCTTATGCCTGCTATTATCTAGCAAATGGGTCGCAGAGTTAATTTGGGGAAGGAAACAGAATGAGGGATGTGGATGTATCTTTTTGCAATTTCGCGAGGGGGCGTTTAAGTAGATTTTTTCATTAGTCACAATGTTTTATTTATCAGTTTTGGACCATTCATTTTCTGATTCGGTAATGGAGTGGGTATCGTTAGCGTTGAGTGTTTGCTGTCAACCAAGGGTTGTTTTGATCAATTTGATTTAGCGGTAACACATCGTATTTTGTCGAAGAATGTCTCAGTTATTGGTTTGGAAGAGAACAGAACTGACTGGTCTTTTGAATATGCTTTCATCATCATATAAGAGCATTTCGTTCATTACAAGGAGACGTTGTTGATGTGAGTAATATACCGAGCTTTTACTTCCCACGCCTACTACGAGGAAATTTGCAGAATATTCTGGAGAATATATTTGTGCGTTCCAAATGATCCCAGTGTATAGAGAGGAATGGATCATAGACCCAACCAAAGAGTGTCAAAGGATACGTAAACGTCTTTCCAGTATTTCTTATTATTTTGTCACCAGATTTTTCTTTTTTTTTTCTACGCCACTAGGTGAGGAAGTATTGTAATCGCGAAAAAGAATGTTGTATGACAAGTAGGTCATGAAAAACCATGTCACTCGTTTCCAACAATCTGCGTGTTGGACTGTCTGCCTGATTGCTAATTCTTAGCCCGCCTGTAAGTTAGAAAGTACTTTTCACATTTTAATGAAATTTTGACAAGGACGAAAAAGGCTTGTCGTTTTTGAAAACGTGTGGCGGCACTCAAACTTCGTTTTTTCACGCGTCGAGTATGAACAATATAATTGAGGTGGCAGCTCCCCAGAACGTAAGGTAGTACTCGGACTATGTCTTATCTGGACCTTGTACAGAGTGAGGAGGTTGTGAGGAGAAAAGTACTGCTTGGCTATGGACAAATAGCCTAGGGTTTCAACGTTTTGGAAGCATTAGGCTACTCGTCATTAATTTTATTTGAAAATCGACAGTCAACCGATAAAATAAGTTGAGTTGAGAGAACGATTCCAACCACCTCCCGTGCAAAGGCTGGCATAAGCTTAGACAAGATTTTAGCTAGCAATATTTCATGCTACAACAATATCGTTAACCTCAATTGGGAAAATAACATAAAACAACATAAAAATGTGAAAAAATAGAAATAAACGTAAAACAACAATAATGACAGTCTATTATTTCAAATGGAACTTCATACTTCGATCTTTTTTTATTTAAATTCAAATAGTGAACTATACAGAACTCCTCGAATTTCGCCATAAAAAAATTGAGATTTGATAGTCTACCATGGTAAAGGAGGCATGAGCAAAGTTACATGTTCATGGCCAACTTATTGTCTAAGGCAAGGTATCAACTTTGAGATGTGTAATGAATTATATCCATGTCCGCAACTTTGTTTTTAGCCAAATTTCACATAATTAGACCATTTTACGTCACTTGTCAACTACCACCCACCACCAGTCGCCTGCCGCCCAGAAGTATAACCGCGGCCTAACAGTACCACGCTTCAATTTTCATTAGCATAAAGCTCTCTCTCATACTACGAACCAGTATCCCTTTCTGCATCTCATGTAATACATTTACTTCGATCTACATAAATTGCCTTTCAGGTGGAAGCAAAAACACTATATATATCTTCAAACGACTTCCGCCAACAATGAACCCTTCCCTATGTGTCTATTATGCCCTCTGATAGGACCATTTAACATCATATCTCGTTGGCGTTCACCTCATTCAAGGGATCGCTTGAATCAATTGATGTACAGGGTTGCACAACCGACACTACTGAAAATTGGGTAACTTCCAGAATCAGGTTTGCGTCAACCTTCAGGTTATCGTTCAGTTTTTTTCAGAGTTACCGGTTGCACGTTTAAAATTTGCTTCGTTTAGAAGTGTGAATTGGAGGCAGTTTATCTTGGATCTAACAGTTTCGGAAATATAATTAGTTTGGCTGTTACAAGAAGGCATGACATAGCCAAAGGTAAACAGAAAATACAGATCGAAGAAGTATATTTGTACCGTAAACTTATTGTGGTAAGGATAGGACTTAAGTTCTGTATCTCAGGGTCAGACTAGGTCCAAATAAGTAGTTTTGAGGTAATTGCGCTTGAAATATGATTCTTGTATTGTATTGTATGGAACTTAACATTATTTATAAAGTCGCAACTTTCTTACTATTACAGGTATGTGGACGTTGCAAGTAGCTACTGAAAATTCACAATATTATAATGAACCTAAAAAGTAAAAAATTCAGACTTAACCAAGTGTGGCTCTACAGAATTATAAGCAAACTTTACGAATACACTAGCTCTACCATATGTCACCTTGTAGTCACATAGACTGGTACAGAATAATATTCACATGTGTCCACGTAAAGCTTGATAAATCTTCTTTCACATCCCTATTTCTTTAAACTACCCTACTGATTCACTCTTCCGGATATAGGGTAGGAATCATACAGATACTTTCAAGTTGAATTACTTCATTTTACATGGCATACAGGTAATCATGACTTTGAATAGAGATAGGATTCTATGGGAGGATTGAATCATCAATCAATCCCGTTTTATCTGTAAGAATATTCTTTCTAGCGAGTATAGTTTCGTATATCGACAAGCAGACATTCAGACTTAACGATGCGTCTTTATACAATAGTAATACAAGTATTATATTGTGTGCATCTGTTAAAAAAAATTAAAGGCATTGTAGCAATTTTGTAAAGCCGGTGGAATGAAATTCTGTGCACTCATGCTTTTTACTTCCCACGTCACACCGGAAGGGGAAGTACTACTATCAAAAAACAAAAAATAAAAATGGCTCTATCTTTTTCGATGTCTCAGAGGATCCTGATCGTTTGTAAAAAATAAGGCGTTTCAGATGGTGTGTTGCAATGTTTGATGTTAGTATATCAATACACTTCCAACCCCGGTAATGATACGCACGCATTAGACATATTTTATTCACCACAGATTTGCCCTTGAAACTTGAAAAAATATTTTCAGCAGACCGCCTATCGTTCGCATATGCCGTGCGCCACTCAGTTATTTATAAATATTGCATCTTTGTTACTCGATCCGAGCAGGAAAGCAGAGCGGCGACATACGAGGTGGGCGCGATGTTATCATAGAAGTTGCTTCGATGGCGCAGGAAGTACAGAATCAATACGCTTGGAGCCATTTTTTGTTTTCGTGCGGCTGATCTAGATCTAAGAGACTCACCGATAAAGTGTAAGAATGTTGAGTTATATTGGATTTTGAACCTCAGACCAACTAATTAAGCCTGGAACATTCGTCTGAAGCTTTTTGAATGAGCCTAATGTATTCATAAAAACCTAGAAATGCTACAAGAGATTAAAATGTCTTCATCTTCTGTAAGTGTAGGTAAATAAGTACAGTTTCCACTAAGCTGAAAATTTTGAATGCTCCACCTCAGCCGCAGCTCTATTTTCTTTTAACAATAATGCAACATATTTATGTAAAGATAAGTATATTTGCTAGGTCCAGATATACCACAAATTTGTGTAACCTAACAGTTCTACAATAAATACAATAGAAAGTAGATAGTTGCTGACTTATAAATCTAGTTGTTGTACTTTGACATATATCGGCGTCTGGAGATGAAATTATTCTGTTTACAAATCACAAATAGTTGACTTTTTGGCATGCATCAGCATGTAAGCTAAAAATCATAGCAATTAAATCTTGAATATCATAACTGCTGTAATGGAATCAAAACCTATTTTCTTCTTTATCGGAATCTTCTGCATCTACTAGTGGGCAGCACACTTTCGGATTGCTTCCGAGAAAACCACATTGTGACTTGATTAAGAATTCCAACCGTTCAGGTGTCATAGGTGTCAACAAGTCATTAGCCATATCGAATATTTGTCGACATTCTTGCAAAACGATGCATCTGCCTGGTTTCAGTTCGGCAGTGATGCAGTGATCTAGATAGAAATAAGAAAACAGCGATATCAGTAATTCACCTGTAAAACAACAAGTAATGCGTTGTCTCACTCACTCTAAAGAAATCAACAACCTTACTTGGATAAACTGTTAACACAATACGTTTAACACAAATAATAATGAACTTGGAGTGTATATTTTAGATATTTTGGAAGGTCCACAATATACTATACTGTATTTGTATTATACAGGGTCGTTCAGAAACAGTGGCACCATTTTTAGGGCAGAAAGTACGTGTAAAAGCAGCGTGTAAAGAGAGAAAAGGAGATGAAGTTATAACGACGAGATTGAGAAAAATACATTCATTGTCATTGCAGCTGTCGGATCAAAATTTTATACACTATAGCACTGTAATTCAAAGATAGTCATGACTCAAGCTATATCAGTGTCGTACATGTTTTGACCCGTAAAAAAGAAGAAATGAAGACTACGCCACTGAGTTCTTTGAAATGCCTATGGAATTTTTCAATAAAGTAATCAGTCTTAGATAAATTGTTTTCATTGATAAGTTTTTGTAACACTATCATTACTTTGGAAGAGTAAACAGCTTGCATATTGAAGGTAAAATCCATCATAACTTTTCATTTTCTGATTTTAGTTTTATGCTAAATTTAGCAAAATTTGAATTTTAAAATTGTGCGTAGTATGTCAATATTATAATACTCGTATATTTGTTCTATCCTCAATCAGTGCCGTCAGTAACGTATGTACATCACCTTGTGTAATATCTGGATGATGGGACAATTTCAGGATGTATGTTTATTGGGTATACATATTTATATTATTATTGTAGTAATGTTGATTCTGCCCTAGAAACTATGCGATTGTATCTTCAATCGCCTTGCATATATGTAGAGGAGACCTGTAGAACCTCTTTAAAAAACGTATTTGGTGTAAGAGAAATTATCTTCATAACTGGGCTACTCTGTATGTGCGTGATATGAAAGTCTACCCTCATTTGTTTTTTTTTATTTATTGGACGCGTTCAAAAACTAAAACGGTAAATAACAATAATAATCCATGCGATCAGTAAAAATTCACGAAATATTTTCACTCACCTGTTTCGAATTTGGCGAATACTGTTGAAACCACAACAATGAGAAAAAGCACGGTGAACTTGATCGCATCCATTTTCAAGCAGCTATCAACACGAACTGGTTTGTGATTCTAACCGGAATTGGTAATCTTCATGTTCTGCTATTAGTGCGGTCATTTTTACTGTACGTTAACATATCCCAATGAAAAGCCTCATTGATTAAAGTGATTCCTAAATATTAGCATATGGTACCACTCCACAACTAGGTATCTCGTGTTAAAATAGTAACATGTCTAACTTGGTGCATGCATTTTATTTTCAAAAAAACTTCGTTTCGAAGATAACGGGCGTGCAAAATCTGCCTGAGTTTGGTGGTTTTGGAAGTTCGGAATTCAGTGCAAGACAAGAAAGTTCCAATCATGCATTCTTAACCCAGTCGATAACTACATTCATCTTGCAAGATGTGCCGTAGTTGTGTATTTGTTTTAGTCTGAGCCTAAAGGCACATTTTCTAAACAGATTAGGTGTTTTTATGTTTCTCATAAATTAATCTACAAGTCCCTGGAAATACTTTTAAAGATTATATGACATCTACAGCACGAAAAACATATCACTCATTTCCAGCTGTCTGTCTTCTGTCCGCTAATCCTTGGCCTCTCGATACTCGTGAAGTATCGCTCGAAATTTGATAAAATTTTGACACAAGGTTACCAACGTGTCAAGCATGAACAAGCTTTACAGATGCTGAAAATCGATCCGCGCGTGACCCACGGGAAAGAACGAAAAAAATAAAACAGCATTTTAGAGGCTCCTGAAAATTTTTTTAGTGTCACGTGCCAAAATCACATAACTTTTTTCACTATTTTGATCACTAACTATTAATTTGAATTTCTCTTTATGAATTACAGAGTACCGATTCCTAGACAAAACCCTTTTTAATGATTTTCTTTTGGCAAATTTCATAGTTCATAGGATGGATTGTATAATTTCACACGAATTATATCTTCCTTTCTCAGCGATTGTATTGAAATCCTTTGGATGTTATAGTATTATCAACGACTATCTTCGATATTTTCTCATAAAATATCGTTGGTCTCCCGTAGAGAGTTCTGCCTACAGTCTTCCCATTGGCAACCAGCGTGCCACCTTGTGATTTCTACACATACTAGCCGTATATGAAATTTGATTTCCTATCAAGATACCTCCTTTTAATTGCGCACAGACGCGTCCAGCGCCATTTTTGCATTTGCCTTCTGCTGAGGTTTTGGTTGTGTATGGGTGTCGTTTCATTTATTTCCAGATTCTGGCATTTTAGACCCCCAAACACCAGTTTATGGAGTAGTACCCTTTTTATTTTGTACCTCACGTTTAATTGTTTTGGTTTGGGTACTACCCGTCCATTTTTTAATGGGATTTTAACCTCCAGCGTGGAAAGGCATTGCGGAGAACCACCATTCACACTCTTCCACCCTTGTCTTGTAGCTGCCTTGTAGCTGGCTCGTAGTCGATTTTGTTGGAATCCATTTAGGCTAATGATGAATGCGAAATTATGAGCTCATCGAAGCATTTCATTAAAACGTAAGCTACCTATCCATGGGAATCTAGAAACATGTTTAACAGCAACGTGCCTAGTAAGATCCGAATTTTAAATGAATTTGTCTCATGGTTATACATACATTACAATTTCTCCGGGCTATTGCTATACGACCATTAGTTGCCTAATTAGCCTACTTCGAAGGGGGTCATCGAAATACTTTGTTGGCTGTATTGTATTGGTCTTATATTGGACACGTTTAATATGTTAGATTGTTAGAGATATCACAGTTGTGTTATTGTACTCTCATTAATGATTCTAGATACGCCACATCGGTGACCTGTAGCTAGAACTTGGTTGAAAAACAAAGGAAGTTAATATTATTTGACTGGACGGGAACAGGCAGTGAAATTTCTGACGAGATCCACAGAATATAGTAAAGACATCAAAATTCGGTTGTGTATTTACTTACTATTTACATTATATGCCACGGACGCGTTTTTGGGCAAAAATACGTGAAAGCCTATTGAACGACATTAAGATATCCACAAAAACAACGATAGTTAAGGTGGAGTTTTATTTATGCGGTTTATACATGGACACACAAACAACCAAGGGTGTTTATAAATAAATATAGAAAACATTGCAGAAATAATGGGCTGTATTCGAATATAATTTATTTAATAATAATAATAATAAATGTAAGACCTGAAAAGCCGTTCTGCATATTACTACTCTTCAGCAGGTCGCTGATAAAAGTTTGTTGTTGAGTAACTACTCCATCACAAAAAAACTCACCTTGAATAAGTTGAACTCTTTGCCTCTCTTTTGTAAGCACCTTTTCCGCTTTAGTAAAATATTTTACAAACTGCTTTATCGATCACTTTTTAAGAGCCTGGACAAGTGAAAATAAGGCAGCCGAATGTGTGAGACTGCCATACGAAATATTCCGTATCAGCGCACCAATAGTGATCACATAACGGCTCTTGTCTCATTTTTATTATAAATGAATATTAAGGAGGAATTATGCAAGTAACAAGTTTAAGCCCCTTACTTCACCGTCCTAAATATCCAACTTTCAGCATTACTGAATCATACTTATTCGTGTTATTATTAGCACAAAATTTTTACTAGTTCAATTAAGAAAATGAAATGTTTCATACGAGCTCCCACCCCATATTTTACCCTTGTAAAATGGCTCCCTCTAAGTATACAAATTTCCAAAAATACTCAATGAAATTTTTCATGTATATTGTAGAGTATTTGTACAGAGCTTCACGTGAATCCTGGAATGATAAGATTCACACAACCTGCCTCCCTATTCCATCTTCTTAGAAGATTGCTGGTAACTTACGCTTTATGAAGGATCTCTCCAAGCAACTCCATTAAAAGATTAGAAAACATTATACAAACCCCCAACCCCGCATTTCACCACCTTAGCGTACGAATTTTCAAAAACTCCCTTCTCAGTGCAAACTTGCGTTATAAGAAGGACCTTCTTGAACGTTTTTATCCCGTCTCTGCGTCGATAAGTCAATCAGAGAATGAAATTGCTGATATTAGGACAACTCTCGCACGTTTTGATCTAATGTATATGGCAATCTCTATCTGCTGATTTGTCAACTACGGTTGACGTACTAGGCAGTCTGATAAGTACCTGAAAATTCTAAGAGATGGCATTAGTATTCACTAATGCGAACCATTTTTGTCGAGCCTGATCCTTCAAATGACACCTGTCAAAACTTCAGCCATTCATGTTTACACATTTACAAGTTACAGCACTGAGAAGCGACTAACCTCAGAGTTTTTTTTAATATGGAAAAATCCGAGTTTCGAGTTTTGATCAAACACTACTATCTACGCAAGAAAACGATATCCGAGACCAAGGCCAAGCTGGATAAGTATTACCCGGACTCTGCACCGTCGATTGGAACGATTCATAAGTGGTTTACGGAGTTTCGTTGTGGCCGTACAAGCACAGTTGATGCTGAACGATCTGGGCGCCCAAAAGAGGTCACTACACCAGAAAACGTCGAAAAAATCCATGATATGATGTTGAATGATCCCAAAGTGAAATTGAGAGAGGTAGCTAATGCTGTAGGCATGTCATTGGAACGCGTAGGCAATATCGTCCATTCAGTTTTGGGCATGAAGAAGCTCTGCGCGCGATGGGTGCCGCGTTTGCTCACAGTGGACCAAAAACGAATTCGTGTGACGACTTCCCAGCAGAATTTGGCATTATTTTCGCGTAAGCCGACCGAGTTTTTGCGACGATTTGTAACCATGGATGAAACCTGGATCCATTACTACACTCCTGAGTCAACGCAACAGGCAAAACAGTGGGTTCCACCGGGCCGAAGTGCTCCGAAGCGTCCAAAAACGCAACAATGGGCCGGAAAGGTTATGGCCTCCGTATTTTGGGATGCTCATGGCATAATATTCGTGGACTATCTTGGAAAAGGTAAAACCATAACCGGAGCATATTATTCATCATTATTGGACCGATTGAAAATCGAAATCGCCGAAAAACGACCGCATTTGAAGAAGAAAAAACCGCTTTATCATCACGACAATGCGCCTGTTCATTCATGCTTAGTTGCACAAGCAAAATTGCACGAAATCGGCTTCGAATTGGTTCCTCAGCCACCGTATTCACCAGACCTGGCCCCCAGCGACTATTACTTATTCCCTAACCTGAAGAGATGGCTCATCGGTAAGCGTTTTTACTCAAATGAGGAGCTCATAGCTGAAACTGAAGCGTATTTTGGAGACCTTCCGATCGAGTACTTTTCGGACGGTATCAAAAAGTTAGAAAATCGTTGGATTCGCTGTATCGACCTAAAAGGAGAGTATGTTGAAAAATAAACCCGACTTTGGCCAAAAAAACGTCTCCGTGTTTCATTTTTCAGGGACTTATCAGACTGCCTAGTAGCTTTCAATCAGCAAAATTATGTCACAAAAGAGCTACAAGGAACATCTCATCTTAAACCTGAGACGTCACTTTGAAGTTAAATTCTTGTAAATTGTCAACCCGTCTTTGATCAGTCATCACACTTCTCCAACAATGCGAAAACACTCGAAAGGTGATCCAGAGAAGTACTAAAAGAGAATGGCAAGCGGATCTAACAGCACAGTCGCAGCAAACGACCTCAGTGACAGTTCAGATTGGTCGTCTTCAGAAGAACGGCCTCTAAAGGAGCGCAAGGTGAAAACCTCTCCACCAGCACCAGTATCCATCCCCAAACTGCTCAAAGACAAGACAGGTGATGGGGGAAAGGGTAAGAAGAAACGAAAAAGCGTGGTCACTGTGTGCCTGACACACTGCAGGTCAGTATTCTTGCTAGTCTTCAGATTTAAGATACTAAAATTCAATTGTCGGACCTAGGGCTAAACCAAACACTGCACAAGTTAGGACAAGAGAAAATATATATTCTCCGTGATCACCATTTCCACCGTATATCCCAGATTTCAAAAATAGCATTTACTCAGGTGTATACAGCTATAGATTTTTGATGATCAGGCCACATAATGATTCTGAGTTCCTGAGGAATTGATCCAAATTGCTGGGAGTAGTGTTGTTTATATCTTCAGCTTAAACGCCACAGAACACAATAATTTGACTACTCAATGTAACATTTCTACGGGGATGTGCCTCGATACTAACTTCTTCTTACATTTCGCCTCTTCTGTCATATTATCCATGTTGCTCATATAACTCAGGCAATATATTTATTGACCCAAAGGCATATTACTAGCTCCACTTCTTACCGATCGGACCTTAATATATAGTACAACGACATACTTTTCAGATATGACGTAATAAGGCGGGTAGCTCAAAGATTTGGATATAAAGAAGTTAGCGAAGGTGAAAATTGGAATATGTACTGGACAGACCTGTCTATCACAGTGGACAGATGTAAAGATATGAAGAGGTATCAGAAAATAAACCATTTCCCAGGTAATACAGCGTTAGTAACTGAATCACCACATCAGTATACATAATATGGTTTAGAGCTCAGGCTCATTTTAGCACGCAACTAAACCCAGTACGTACTAAATCAAAACTCATTAGTTTTTTCCAAAGCTATTTAAAAGATTCACATGGTTTTCTAAACGCAAATAGCGCAAGTTACATTATAGTTTTTTGGGCACATAATCGCCGCTGCTCAGTTGGCGTTGACAAGCAGGTATCGCCTATACGCACTTCTAAGTATACAGGGTTATCCAAATTAAGTGTCCACCATTAGTAACTTTGTTATTAGTGAAAATACAAAGTTGTTTGAATTGGCAAACTAGTAGAATTTTTAACGCTGGTAAAAATGAGAAATAAAAAAAAACAATTGAGAGTCGTTATTTTGATTTTTTTCAGTAAAATAACATTTTTTTAAATGGAAACCCCTGTATATTATATTTTTTTCTGTTAAAGCATCAAATTTTAAACAAAAAAGCTTACAATAACTTTTCTCCTAGGTTACAAATTGTTGAAGTTATGGCCTCCAATCTGAAACAATTAAATTGTATGGACAAACTTTATTTTCAACATCAACTTATAATCTTACAAAATACAATAACAATTTTTTTTAAAGAAGATGCTCGAAAACACCACCTTGTTCTTCAATACATTTTTGGGCACGTTTTTCAACTGCTCGAACTGTCTTAAGTATGGTCCTACCATCTATCTGGGTTATCTTTTCCCTAACTGCAGTCTTTAACGCGTCAAGGTTATCGTACCTTCGCTTGTAAATTTGGTTCTTTAAGTAACCCCACAAGAAGTAATCAAGTGGATTTAGATCTGGTGATCTGGGAGGCCACTGTATTGGGCCATTTGTTCCTATCCACTGATCATTAAAAGTAGTACTTAGAAAATGATAAGTACCTCTGGAGTTGTGGGCAGGTGCGCCATCTTGCTGAAAATGCAGATGATGTCTACTTATAAGATCCAATTCGTCTAAGAAATTAGTCAGAATTTCTGACATAAATTCCACATATCTTTCACCAGTTAGGGTTCCCTCATAAAAGAACGGGCCAACAATTTTTGAACCAATTATACCGCACCAAACGTTGAAACTGAAACGGACTTGTGGGCCTCTTGGATGTACTAACAAAAGATTTTCTCTTGACCAATAATGGTGGTTTTTTCTATTAAACATTCCAGAATTTGAAAAATTTGATTCATCTGTCCATAAAAGGTAACGAAAGTTATTTACATTTTGGCGACAGAAGCTAAGATACCAATGGCAAAAAACAAGTCTTCTCTCTGGATCCCCTGCCAAAAGCGTTTGAACTGGTGGGTACTTATACGGAATAAATTTGTATTTTTTTAAAATCCTTTGAACAGTACCATAACTGAAATTAGAGTCCTTGAGAATATCTGCTATTGAATTCTCACGATAAGCTTCAAAATATCCAATAACTGCAATTTCCGTGGCCTCGCTTATTATGAATTCTTTTTTTGCCCTTGTTTTAGCAAAAACATTTTCGTTGCCCCTAAATTTTCGATAAAGTCTCAGAAAATATCGTTCATACGGTTGAATGCGAGCGGGATATAATTCACTGTAGTATTCTCTTGCTCTCAAGGAGGATTTTCTGCACACTAAATAGCATTCTAACATATCACACTTTTCTTCATGGGAGAACATTTTTCTTTAAATTAATGACACAATAAAGCTTATAAACAAGTATTTACACTAATGTTTGACATTATTTGATTTTATCATTGTTTTCCAAAGCCATCTAGTTGCGAGTATGTCCAGTTTAACAATTTGTCGCTTATCTTCATGCTGTCAAATCGCGAACGCCATGTTGTTTTCATAGCCGTCTTAATATTATAATACTGCAAATAATTAAAAATATTTATCGTTATTTTGACTTTATTTTTGACTTTAGCGGAAAAGTCATTATGAACTTTTTTGTTTAAAATTTGATGCTTTAACAGAAAAAAATATAATATACAGGGGTTTCCATTTAAAAAAATGTTATTTTACTGAAAAAAATCAAAATAACGACTCTCAATTGTTTTTTTTTATTTCTCATTTTTACCAGCGTTAAAAATGCTACTAGTTTGCTAATTCAAACAACTTTGTATTTTCACTAATAACAAAGTTACTAATGGTGGACACTTAATTTGGATAACCCTGTACAATACAGTACATAGGTGTAGAATAATTGCTTCCTACAGTTTTACAGGCCTACGCACTTTGACTTCCAGGGATGCTAGAAATCTGTCGAAAGGACCTTTTAGCCCGCAATCTAAACAGAATGCTGCGCCTCTTCCCCAGAGACTACAACTTCTTCCCCAAGACCTGGTGCTTGCCCGCTGATCTGGGTGAAGCAATAACCTACAGCCGTTTAAGAAAAAACAAAACATTCATCTTGAAACCTGACGCCGGATCACAAGGTCGAGGGATTGTGATCACAAAATCGCTGAAGGACGTCCGGCCTTGTGACAGAGGCATCTGCCAAGTGTACATCGGCAAACCGTTCCTCATAGATGGATTTAAGTTCGACTTAAGAGTGTACACGTTGATCACCAGTTGTGATCCCATAAGGATATATATTTATAATGAAGGTTTAGTCAGATTCGCTACCAGCAGGTACTTAGTTTCTAACTCCAATTTCAACAAACAAAAAAATGCCAAAGCTTCCAGAAAAAAATTGTTAAGCGCCTTAGCTCCACATAAAGAATCAAGGGACTACGTAGCGCTCTTCTTGGAAATACCTTGAGGTATTTCAATATGTTAGCAGCGTCCTCAATTCTTTGCCATGAGGCACGATAGCATCGATTTCATGTTCCATGTTTACCTCGAAATTATACGTGTAAGAACTATTGAGAACAAGAACACATTTATTCTGCGTGACCTAAAAATTTAAATATCTCTTTCAATCTCCTAGAGCTATTTTCCATTAGGATTTTTCAACTATCAAGTTCAATCAACCACTTACTTTGATCCAGATACAAAGAACCCAATGGAATAAATATAACAAATGTCTTTATGCATTTGACCAACTACGCGGTCAACAAACACAGCAGAACCTACAACCAAGACACTGAAGGTGGCAGCAAGCGAAAGCTCACATGGTTCAACACGTATTTGAAGAGTCTGAAACATGATGTTGAAGCCATATGGTATCGCATCGATGACGTCATCATCAAGACTATCATCAGTGCCTATCCAGTTTTGAAACACAGTTATGCTGCTTGCTTTCCTAACCATGATGTTCTTCCTGCTTGCTGTGAGCTGCTGGGCATTGATATCTTGTTAGACAAGAGGTATGTTGGCACCGTTCCAGAACATATAAGAATCCCAAAGCTTCCAACCCAGTGCCTTGTGAATCATAACGTTTGGTCCTTCGTGAAACAAGTCGTCAGATTGGGTTGTTTCAACTGTGTGGTGCAGAAGTTTTTAGACATTTCTGAGATATTCAGATACTTTATCTATTTTTCCAGACTGAATCCCCAAGTTCTCGAAGTGAATCATTCGCCTAGTTTTCATACAGATACCGAGCTAGATTGTGAAGTCAAAGAATCCCTCTTAACAGATATGTTTGCAATGATGAATCTGGAGCTCTGTGACAAAAGAAGGATAATGCGTGAAGACAGAAGAAGAGTACGTGAAAGGTTATTAAATGGTAAATGAGAGTTTTCCTGAATCTAGTATGTCCTATTAAAAACAAACGGTTCCAATTCCATGTCCTATATTTAGAACGGATCATTTTATCTATTTATGTATCCAGCTTAGATACCGTTCTCACCTGAACCAAATGGCGACCGCAGCCAGACGGCATCCCGGCACCTGTAGAAAACCTTCCAGGAGAGCTATAGTTTATTCTAAAAGTGTGGCAGCCAAGTTAGTTATGTGAAAGTGATATTCAGACTCAGGAAGTATGTTTCCGTATGAAGTATTACTATCCGGAGATCGTTAATTGCCTATTGTTTGTTATGTATTAAGAATTTTTTTGTAAATAATTTTTTGCCACATACATAATAATGTTTATTGTCAAACAATATAAAAATAACTATATGAAAAATTGCAAAAGACAGGTAGTCCAAAAAAAGTTGAATAACTTGAGTATTAAAGAAAATACATATCTGGGCGTTTCTAACGGTATCGAGATATGGTCTCAAAATTCAGGGGAACAGGTCAAAAATTGGTTTTATTGAGTTGAGTGGTTAAAAATCAGGAAAAACACATTCAAATTAGCTTATATCATCAATATTCTAAATCAAAAAGTAAATCGTGGAACGGTATTCTTCAATTACCCTTCAAAATACGAGTAATAAATATTTCTCATATCTAGCATCTGATTTAAAATCCATACCCTCAATTCTTCTTTTCAGTTTGCTAATATGGAGTCATTCTTTTAAGTTTACAGGCAATATATTATATAATTTTGGAACTAAAAGAGTTTTTTTGCCCACATTTTTTGTAAATTTCAGTACACATACAGTATGATTTTGGGCCCTTGTATGGTTATCGTGTTTGACTAGCCTCAGAACGTGCTTTTTATATAAACTATCAGTTTTTCACATTTAAGTAATTTTTACTATTTATACAGATCATTTGTAAGATATGTAAGAGGTTTATTGAATATTAACTTGATGCGTTTTTAAATTCTCAATTTTCTTATGAGCTTGAAACTTATGCATGATATGATAAGAGTGATGGTACCAACGCATTGTATAGAGTGCAATATTTTTTTCGATGATCTGTCAGCTGATTTTGTTTCAACTGTTGAAGTATCAGAAGGTAATTCAGCGGAAATATTTGCAAAAGGTGGGGAAGATATTCCATCGAAAGAAAAAGCTAGATATTGTTTTTTTCGAATTTATCGTTAAATTTTTAATATTTCTTAGCAAGGCTAAGTTTTTATCAGCTATAAAATACAGCCGTATCATCTGCAAAGTCAACAATTCCTCCTGGAGTCTCTAAAGAAAACAAGTCGTTTATATGGAGTTTGAACAGAAATGGCCTGAAAACTGTTCCCTGTGGTATAACATATGTTACGTGATGAAGACTACTTCTTGTGCTATTTACTTTTACTCATTGATACCGTTCACTTAAATAACCTTTCAGTAAAGCATATGTACGAGTATTTCCGCGAAAATCCAAACTCTCCAATATGACCAGATGTTTTTTATGATCTACAAAGGATTTCTTTAGATCTGCACAAATGCACGCTGAGGGCTTTTCTATATCTAGATTTTTATATAGGTAGCACATTCATTGCATAATTGCGTCCTGCGTTGACTTGCCGTCCTGGAAGCCAAACAGTTTGTCAGATATGACTATATTTTCTAAGGAACTCTGAGGAACGAAGTTCAAAAACTTCTTCAAAGAAGAAATTTTTCTTCTAAAAGTGATATAGGTATGGTGACTGTTGATTGATATGATTAGATTTTACTTGTACCATACGTTAGTTATATCATTATTTTTGGTAAAGGTTTTTAAGAATAAAAATAGACTACTTGAATCTTGCATCCTTACTAGCAACTACTGACTTTTCCACAACCTCAAAAAGGCTAGTTGTTCAGCAGTAGCTTTTGGTGCAAACGCAAAAGCATCTGCAGTCGAAATCAGGTTGCAATCGAGTTGCCGCCGGATTGCTTCTGGAAAAATGCCTGAATGGATTAAAACAAGACCCAAAGCTGACTACTACGTCACCCAGTATTTTAAGGCTAATCCTCCCAGTTATTGCATGACAATAAAGAGCCGTTGGATTACTTGAGCTTCTAACAAATTATCTAAACTATCTAAAAATTACACTTAACAGGCGTCAACATCAAGGACTCCAACACCCACGAAATGAAATGCTTCACAGACTACTTCAAAGCCGAGATGGTGAATAAAGGCGGCTTCCGATTGGTGTATCCCTCGCCCCACACGGAACACAACTACACGAAGTTTTTCGAGCAAGGTCAGAACTCTCTGTACAGCGATACTGCTTCAAGCAGAGCAAGAGAAGCTGCCCAGAATGCGCTAAGGGATGAGATGCAGCTGAAAGCAAAGCTAGAAGCAGCTAAGAGGGTGACGGCCAAGGCTAGAGTCCCCCAAGAAACTCCCTGTACTCCTTCTAGGTCCACATCCAGAGCATCTTCAGTTCCATTGAGTGTTCGTAGTGATTATAGTAGTTCGTTCGATCCACAAGTAGGTGAAATAATGAAAACATCATTCATTTACGATAGTCATCCTGTACTATACAACAATTGAATGCTAACCAAGTATTAAGTCACACCACAAGCTCACCACCATCACACTATAAGGAATTGTTGAGCAAAGAAATATTCTACCGATTCACCGATTCTAGCGATAGATATCTGGCAAAGCCAAATAAAACTTCGTCAAATAATTAAAAAAACAACACTCGTATGAAGATAATGCAGCCTTTTACGACGCTAACGTTTTTTAAAAACGGGATTTTGCCACACTGTTGTTGCTATAGTGCAAAATACGTTACGTTACTGGCATGTCACTGTAGCATGAACGATTGGATGAGTTTTCATTTTCTTATAACTTTTAGTTATTTCTCGAATGTTATGTTAAAATAGACAATGTAGCATCAATATCTACATAAATTAACTTACCTTGGCATGATTCTCAGACGACGCCAGGCGGCCCAGGTGGTTCTGCTACGCCATTACTATGTCTGAAAAGGAAAAAGCTTATAGAGAATATAATTGGCTTTTCAGGTTATTGTAGAAGTAGAAGAAAAAGAACGCTTAGAGAAACTGGCTCAGAGAGACTACTTAGTACGAAGCCAAGGCATCCTTGAGCTGCTGTACTTTTCTATGAAAAAGAACAACGTCTTGAGGCCACACGATGAACGGAAATACGCTATCTTCGAGAAGATCCGGCACGCTAGTGAGGTAAATCTGCATTTATAGACAACATATCATCTCCAGTGCTACGCAGTAAAGTCTATAAGTATTATCTCCTTTTAGATATATAAGCCTTTGAATACCCATTCCGCAACAGACGAGTAGGTGGCCTATCATCTGGAGATTGATTACATTACCTGGCCCTACCTTCTATCTACCTTACAAAGATTATATATTATATATTATATAAACATCATGGTAGTCATTATTGAAATGGGTAATCGGGGGGTCAAAACAAGTCAAAAAGTTCATATGACCCATGGTCCAAAAGTCAATAGATTTTTGTCTAAATGGCTTTATAGTTTACAACTTTAAGTGCTTTATATCGCCCACAATCACCACAATCTTACTAATTTCTATAAAACAATCTAAAACGTTTTTAAATTTGGCAATTAACAAATAAATGGCATTAAGTTTTTCTAAGTTAAGACAAAATTTGTAGTCAGTATGTAAGTTTCATTAAATTGAATATTTAAATCGGCAATCGATCGCAAACGGTAACAGTGGTTAGTGTGTTGTTTTGTTTTTGTTCGCGTACGTCGTCGTCTTGATTTACAGAATTTAAATCTTGTAGCTCAAATTTGTCGCGACAGATTTCGCAAACGGGTACACCAAGACAGAAGGACATTTGTGAAAGTGTACCAAAGACTTCGAGATACAGGAAGTGTTCAGCCCACTAATATTCGCACTCGTGAAAGACAGGTTACTCTAGAGCAGGAGGAACAAATTTTAAATATCGTGGAAACCAATGCAGATATCAGCACTCGGGAATTAGGCCGCCGCGTAGGATTATCGCATAACATCGCCCATAGAATCCTACGGGAAAATTTGATTTATCCCTACCATGTACAACGAGTGCAGGCCTTGTTAGCAAAAGACTATCCTCGCAGACTAACATTCTGTCAGTGTTTTTTGCATAAAAACATTGAAAATCCGGATTTTTTTAAAAACCTTCTAGCGACGGACGAGTGTACTTTTACGCGAGAAGGGATATCAAATTTCCATAATACTCACACGTGGGCGCAAGAAAATCCTCATACCTTCTTTAAATACAAAAAAAGTGCAGTGTGGGCTTTAAGAATAAAAACAATGTATGGATCAAAATTGTGTTCCCTATTTATAAGTGGTTTTTTTTAGTACGTTCAATAAACTTTCACACACCAGGTGAAGCGCCTAGACAGTTAGTGGTAAGTCCGTTTTTTTTTTAATTGTTTGCATTTCACGAGTACATTGTCAAATAATGAAATAATACCTAAGAGCCAAACATAACAAACTCAATATTTATTTACACTGCGTTCCGTCGTAATTTGCGTCTGGCATTGCGGCGTTATCACATTTTATTTTACTTTAAAGTCGCTTTTCTCTAAAAAATGCCGTTTTGACCCCCATGTTATATGAAACTTTTTGCGTCTTTTAACCCCTCTATCACCCATTTAAATAATGACTATCATAACGTTTACATGATTTTATACTACTATATTGCAATACTGATAGTCTACCACAATCTAAATATGAACTAAAACGTGATGATGTATAAACTGAAACTGACAATTAATGCCTAGACATAGTTATCCCTTCTACTCTGTCTTGTATCATCATTATGTTTTTCGATGAAGGTTATAAACAAGAAAGGCAACTCCAGTAGTCCAAGGATAAGCGACATGCTGGAGGAAATTAACAAGAACAAAGGTGGAGATGAGTCTATGAAAAGAGAGATATATCCATGGCATGTGAACCTTTCTACGAAAGAAGTTGGTAGAGTTTAAATGTGATTTGCCTTATCATTAAAATTTATAATTAATAAATTGAGTTTTATTATATGACTCACGAGACCCTTCAGACCCAAACTTTAAAGTTTCTGGTAAACATGTCCACTTTAAACTTTGCTTTTTTAATCTCGAAAAATCTGCATGAAATTCAATTTTATCCAAGAGTTGGAATTGCAGAGATGTACATATGTTTTTTTGGAGATATTCATCAGTGGCATTTAAGCTTTGAACTTTTTAAAGGTGTTTTATTTCTGTGCTAGAAATGAATAAAGCTGGGTGCAGTTGTTTTCAAGCATGGTCATCAGAAAGCCTTATTTCACGCAAAAAAATGGGTCGTAAGAAGCCGTCGATATCAGTAATAAATTGATTTCAAATAAATGATCTGCGCATTCGATTCACCAAAGAAGTAGGATTTGGTTGAAATTACGGATACATAAAGTGACATGGAAATTTTCATCAGAAGAGCACCTTTAAACTTTAAGGCCATGTTCTCAAAGTATTGGAATTAGGAAACGTTTGAATTCCAAACAAACAGTTTTCCTTTCATACTAGGCTGAATTGTGTAATCTCCCGCGTAGGATTATGAAAGATAATCAGATGTTGGACAACTTACTTGTTTTATTAATATCATCTGGTTTCGTAAAGTGATAAATCTCATTTTTCGCGCATGATTTTAATAAATTTATGGAAAGAAGAAAAATTTGATGAAGTGGGTATGTTCTATGTAAGAACGTACATAAATTAGTAACCAATATAAAGAACAACTGATTTTAACACTTTTATCTATATTTTTCAACCTTCATATGTGGTTTCTGTTATATACTTGAAACGTAACTTTTTTTTTGCTATTTTGATCAACTACTAGTATTTGAATCTCTCTTTATTAATGGTAGAGTGCCCATTCCTAGGCCAAACCCTTTTCAATGATTTCCTTTTGGTAAATGTCATAGTTTATTGATTGTATAATTTCACATGTACTATAACCTTCTTTCTCAGCGACTCAGTATAGTGTTGAAATCTTTTGGACATTAATGTTAAAATATTATTAGCGACTATCTCAGAAATAGTTTTGGGTAGTTAAGGTTTTCAAAATGGGGAGAGGAAAGGTTATTAGTGAGAAAATTCCGTTACTGATAATTAAATTTTTTAATACTGGGAAATCAAACTCCGAAATTGCAACTTTGTTAGACTTATCGCAGTACAGTGTGAAAAATATTGTAGAAGATATAACGTAACTGGTTCAGTTAATATTAAGCCACGATATGTGAAAAAAGTGATATCATTAATGCCGACCGAAGAGCATTAAGAAGAATAATCGTGAAAAACAGGCGTGCCAATTATTTACAATTAAGTGCTCTGTGGAGTGACGCTGTTGGAAGGAGAATTTCGAGGTCCACAACTCATAGAGACGCCCACAAACTGGGATTTAGCACTTGCAAGGTAAGTTTTCTTATAAAAAAAGTGAAGTAAAAACCCTAAAGCTGCACAACTTGTTTATAGTCCATAGAAAAGCCACCATTAACTCCACTGCAAAAGAAAAATTGGCTTAGATGGGCTAAAGAACATAGACAATGGGCACCTCAACAATGATGTGCAATACAATGGAGTGATGAGGCCCGATTCGAAGTTTGTGTTGGTGACAGTCGCATTAGAGTTATTCGCAAAAAAATGAAGCATTCCATGTTGACTGACTGAAGGGAAAAGTGAAATTTCCAGCATTCATTATGGTCTGGGGCAGTATGTCATCAAAAGGAGTAGGAAAACTTCATTTTATTGATGGAAATGTGGATACAAACAAATATTTGGCAATTTTAGAAGAATCGCTTTTACCAGTGATGGAAGAATGTTTGACATCCGGCCAAGATTTTGTGTTTCAGCAAGATGGTGCTGCGTGCCATACCTCAAAAAAGGCTATAAAATGGATGGAAAAAAATAATAAGCCACTTTTGAAATGGGTTTCTAGCAGTCCAGATCTGTCACCTATTGAAACTTTGTGGCACGAGATGAAAAAGGTTCTACAACAACATCCTGCTCGTACAATCACCGAACTGAGACAAAAGCTTCAAGAAAAATAGGATTGTTTTACACCAAATTTTTACCAAAACTTGTTTAACAATTTACCCCAAACAATTTCAGCCGTAATAAAAAATAAAGGTGATGTTACCCAATGGTAATCTTTCAATTGTTGCTTTGTTCACTTCGCGCATTTATTCGCACATTGTTTATTTGTTCAAATGTTTTATTAGTTACAGGTCTAAGTGATTTCAAATATGTATTTTTTACGACTCGAGTTTATCTAAAATGTTTTTGAGAAAATAAATTGTTTTAGAAGTTTCGTCATGTTTAGTTTATAAATGCATATTTTGGTACAAATCTTGAAGTGGGCCAACTGAAGTGGGAAGGGCCTCGTATGTTGTGATTCTTTTTTAAATATCTCATTTTATTTGGCTCACTGTGTACAATTAATTAGGTTTTGTCATCACTGTGAGATTATTTTCTTTTGTGTGTGGGCAAAACAACTTCCGATTAATTCCTCGGGCATTTGTGGCTTAATCCGTCTTAAGAAACTGGCGCTCTTAACTCCCCCCTCCCTTCCCTTACCGTACACACACTGCGTTGTTTGCAGTATAAAGAGTCACAAAATCCTATTTGGAATAGCCAGATGCGGCTTTTCAGGCGTTCCGTCCATCTTATTTAAAAGCTGACAACAGATCGTGATAAATGTGCCCTGTACCCAAGAAACGTGTTTTTGTCAAAATTACAGATACACGAGAATTTTTGGAAACACAGTTGTGATCTGTACAATGTCCATGAGCGAGTAGCTACATACTGATTTTTGCACCAATATCCAAACAGCCATTAAACATTCCACGGCACTTTAAAACTTTTAGGAGCTCATATTCATTTCTCGATGACATGATATTATCCAGTGCTACATCATCTGTCCCTTCCTAATTAAGACACTGTTGAAACCCTCTCCCCCACATGCCAAGCTCCACACAATGACCCTCGTCTAAACTAAAAAGAGACCCAGCTGAGAGCACAGATATGGCTTTTTCCGTTAATTATGACGATAATCAAATTAGAAACCTGGCAAAGTGACGGTCGAACGAAAGCTGGACCGAACTCCATGGAAATCAAAGGTTGCCATGGACGCCATGTAGCCGGAAAATGAGATGTTTTCATTGTTCGTGAGCACAGGAAGGAGGGCTAGCCCGGCGGGTGAATGTAATGCTGGATAGTGGAAAGTGTGCGTTTTGTCCTCGGTAACCCAGTAACCACCGAGAAAATGAAATCGCAAAGTAAAAATGAAGGGAAGTAAATCGATGGAGAGTTGAGTAATTTTTAAGGAAATAGTTTCTGATTACAAATTCAACTTTATTAAAAATACAACGTTTGGGCGACTCTAACTGCCATCTTCAGGTACATTCAGGTTTGCCATTTAATCATGAACAAGTTAACGTTACCTCAACATTTGGAAATCATCCAAATATTCCATCACAGTTCGAGAAGTGTTGTAATT